CCAAACAATTCCATCAGTAACCACTCTTCAGGGTAATATAATAGAGTTTGTTCACACGTATAAATATCTGGGTTTTTCTTTTAATACAAAGAAGCGGCTTGTTGCTGCAACATTTTTACCTGTGCTGGATTATGGGGATATTCTATATATGAATGCTTCTGCTGCTCAATTTCTTCGAATGGTTTATACTGGTTGATCTGATGTTCATCACTAACCGTACATTTCATACTCACCACTGTGAGTTCTATTCTCAGGTAGGATGGTCTGCTTTGGCAAGTTGGAGGAACTCTCACTTATGCAGTTTTATTTATATGGCAATACTGGGATTGCTGCCTTCTTATATATGTTCCCAGCTTGCAATGAAGCATACTGGTCGCTATCCTCTTCATCCACAAGGTTATTTGTTGCTTTCTGTTCCATTAGCCCGAACTGAATTTGTCAAAAGAGCTTTTGTCCATTTAGAACCCTGTGCTTGGAACAACCTGCAGAACAACTGGAAAATGACTGCATGTGCGTTGTTGCTGCCTGTGTTTAATTGAGTAACTTGTGTAACTGTGAGACTCTTCCTGCTGCCTATCTTGGCCAGGTCGTCCTTGAATAAGAGGTTTTTAATCTCAATGGATCTTCCTGGTTAAATGTGTGGATGACTGAATGTAGTGTAAAGCACTTTGGGGTGCATAGGGACTAAGTAAAGCACTATACAAATACAGGCCATTTTAAAGGCCAGGCCATTAAATAAAGGTTTTTAAAAAAGAAAGAAAGAAAAAACAAACAAACACACCACTCGGGTTTTGATCCAGGAGGCCACTCTACCCAATCACGCCCCTCCAGGTCTCATTGTCGTTGCCCACATGACCATTGAAGTCTCCCAGTAGGACAACAGAGTCCCCAGGTGGAGCACTTTACCCAAGGACTCCAAGAAGGCTGGGTACTCGTCATTCAGCGCATATGTGCAGATGACAGTCAGGACCCATTCCCCGACCCGAAGGCACAGGGAACAAACCCTCTTGTCCACGGGAAAAAAACCCAACATAAGGCAGCAAACTGAGGGGATACTAGGATACCCACCTCGGCCTGCTACCTCCCACCAAGGGCATCTCCAGCTGGAGACAGAGTCCATCCATTCTCCAGGAGACTGGTTCCAGAGCCCAAGCTGTGTGTTGAGGCCAATTATATCTATTCGGTGCCTTTCAACCTCACACACTAACTCAGGCTCCTTCTCACCAGAAAGGAACATTCCATGTCCCAATTTCTTCTCTTGGTAGCCAGGGATTAGTCCGCTAGGGCCTTGTTCCTGGCTGCTGCCCGACATACTGCACCAGACCCCTACGGTGCCTCTGCAATAAAATATTTTCTTCATTTAGTTTCCTGTGTGAGGGGTTATGTATGTTACTCCTCCCTGTTCCCTAGCAGAGGGGGTTGCAACATAAGCAGGGGCTCGTCCGGGATCTCCTTTTCCCCCATCAGGAGAATTCCATTTGTGAAAAAGAGAGAACCTGTGTTTTGCTACCTTTATTTCCCCTCTGCCCTCCTCCCTGGTTGAGCACTATGTTGGCTGCATTTTGTTTGGATTGGTTCTTAGCTGCTCCATCTGTTGAGCTCCTTGATAGCTGCCACAAGTGTGAATTGCTGCAGATTGCAGGTCACCTTAAGCTTCATGTCCTTAAAACACTCTGTAAGAGTAAGCTGAAATAACTAGTAGCAGACAAGTTGGTGGAGGCTGGTTTGATCCAAGCCCCTTACCTGCCTGAAGGCTCTGGTGAGCTAAGATGAACTTCCTTGTTTGAGGGCGACCATAAAGATGGTTCTAGTATGGATGGTGTGGGAGATGAGCGGGCGAAGACACCACGCACGCTCCCTGGCTATGATCACCTCTCCTCTGGAAGTTCAGAAGCATGGATTGGGGGCCCGGTTAAAGGTGCGACTGGTACGGCTCCATTTGGAGGCTGAGGAGAAGGCTGAGGAGAAGGCCCAGGTCAGGCGAGCTCAGCTAGAGCTCGAGATCCATTGCTTGGAGACAGAAGCAGATAAAGGAATGAGGCTGCGTAAGCTGGAGTCTCAGCCACAAGCCTCATCTGTCTCTGCTGTTCTTCCAGGTTCTGCCCCCACTTTGCAGTGGCCGAGTGAGTTATTGCAGTGTAAACTGACTGGCAAAGCCCAGAAGGTGTTGGCCACACTTCCTTTACAGGACAGTTTGAATTATTCCAGTGAAAAATCGGCTGTTTTTCAGGCCTATGAATTGGTCCCTGAAGCATACAGGCAGAAGTTTCGGCAACAGAGGAATCTTCCCTCCCAAACATATGTGGAGTTTACCAGGGAAAAAGGGATCCTTTTTGACAAGTGGTGCTCCGCGTTAAAAGCCAGTGATTATTAATCACTGCATGAATTGATGTCACTGGAAGACTTTTAAAAGGGCCTTCCAGAGAGTGTAGTTTTACACTTGAATGAGCAGAAAGTAAATACTTTAGCAACTGCAGCTGTTCTCGCTGATGAGTATGTGCTCACCCATAAGTCCTTTTTCACAGTTTATGAGAAGTCATGGCTCAGTGCCGTGCAGCGGGCAGGCATGGCTAAAACTTCAGGTTCAAAAGAGTCATGAATTTCATGTTGTCATAAACCGGGACATGTCATTGCGAACTGTTTGGACCTGAAGCGCAAAACATTAAATTCTCAGCAAACTAAAGGTATTGCCTTTGTGAAAGCAGCGTCCCATCCCGAGGTGCTTGGTTGTGGCGGTAAGGTGCCGGGACCTTATTTTGAACCGTTCATCTTTGATGGTTTGGTCTCACTAAGTAATAGAAACACTGACCTGAAACCGGTGCGCACTGAGAGACACTGGAGGTTCTCAGATTAATTCTTTCTAGTGTTTTACCTTTCTCAGCAGACAGTGCATGTGGTTTTAATGTTGTACTGCGTGGAATAGAGATGGCTCCCAGACCAGTTCAATGAGTTTATATATAATCAGAATTTGTTGCGGGAGTTTTTCCCATCGCAGTATGCCCAACCTTGCAAACCTTGCGTGTTGTTGGGAAATGACATTGCGGGTGGGCTAGTGCATCCTAGTCTGGAGGTTCTAGATCAGTGGTTCTTAACCTTGGAGGTACCGAACCTCACCAGTTTCATATGCGCATTCACTGAACCCCTCTTTAGTGAAAAATAAAATATGATTTTTTTTCAAATTCAAGACATAGATTTTGTTTTACTGGTGCACAAAATGAGCCGTGCATGTCGCGGCGGAGGCTCTGCCGAACCCCTGAGACCGACTCACCAAACCACTAGGGTTCAATCAAACTCAGGTTAAGAACCACTGTTCTAGATAATCCCCTCAGTAACAAGGCCCCAGACATTTCGTTGACCCTGAAGCTGTACCCAGCTTGTGTGGTTACTTGTGCACAAGCCCGTAAAGGTGTTGATATTTAAACTCTTTTTGTCTAAGTGCTTGTGAAATATGTCAGTACAGTGTGTTATCTCAGTGAAGATAACTGGACTCACCAGATTCTGAAAAGGCCATGATGTCACTCTGCTGAAAACACCATAGACTGGTTGACCTGTAGAGGAGAAAGTGTTTGATGCTATAAACACAACACTGAAAAATACACACTCCAAAAGCAAGGCGACTGTAGAAAATTAATCCTTCTAACCAAAAAGAATCTTTAACCTTAACTATGATGTCATTTTTAATTATTAGTATTTAAATTAAGTGA